TTGGGGATCATCGATTTAGTAAGACTGGTGTAGAAAAAACAGGAATGGGTTTCTCTCCTCTCTTCTCTATTTTGAATCCTTATTTTCTCTCTATTTCTCTTCACCCTCAATTAACACTCTCCACATAAATAAGTGAGACAAATGAGCTATACATATTTGAGTATTTCTCCACATAGGAAGAGAGTCCAAGCCCAACATTTAGATCATCTCTTACAATTTAGTGGGCTTAGTGGTTTTTCAAAAAAGCTTTGGTTGGTTTTTAACACTATTTGGTTCGTGGTGGTTTGAGTTATCTAGAAAGAGCGAAATATGCATATTTTCCAGAATAAAGCGGAGTAATTGCAGGCGTTATCTGAAAGGATAAAGCTTCAGTCATATTGGTGGTTAAAGTCAAAATATATTACTTTCAATTATGATTACCAGTTATGGAGGTTACATCCTTTATCTTGCTTATCAACCGTTAGATAGACCTCTTTTTGCGGATATTTTTCATGATTTTGAGTTATAATTTTGGATACTTTCTTGTCATTTTCGGTACATCTTGTACTAGACTTACTTGTTTTGATCATTAACATATATTTTATTTTAGATTTTTCAAAAAAAATTTAAACAAGTTTTCCCAACAAATTGTTAATGTCGCTAAGTAGAATCTTCAAGTCACTTATGCATATTATTGATTCCAATCTCCAAACTCATATGATAATAGCCCGAGGAAATGCCAATTTTTTTTTGAAGGGATGGATGCTACTCCAAGAAGGAGAAAGTGAAGAAGAAGTTAGGATCCTATCCATCTTCTTTCTTCATTTTTCCTCTCCAATACTATAGTTTTGAATATATTGACGTGTATAAAAAATATGGTTAAATATATTTTTTGTCCCTACAAAATTATCAAATTTGATTTTTAGTCCTTATAAGAAAATGTCACATTTCAGTCTCTACAAAATTATTTACTCACATATTTTTAATCCTTGTAGAAGGACTAAAACTTCATGCATAAATAATTTTATAAGGACTAAAACTTCACGCATAAATAATTTTATAAGGACTAAAACGTGATATTTTTTATATGGACTAAAAGTCAAATTTGAGATATTTATAAGGATCAAAAATATATTTAATCCTACTTAAAATAATAGGCCAATATTAAAATCTACATTCTTTGTTTTTAGTCTAATATTCTAATGGTTAAAATTTCCCCCACACAACTACAGTTGAGTTGTTTTAATAGAACAGACGACACAATTCTTAGAGCATCTCCAATAGTATTATCCATCTTTGGGTTTTTTGTGAAATTCATTTAGCCACATTATCTTGAAGCAATTCATCCAATTTTCATTCAAATTGTGCAACTCTAAGAAACTCATATTTCTTCCCACAACTTTACTTTATCTATTAATATTTTATTCATATTAAATAAAATAAATTTTAAAATAATAATTTAAATTATATAAACTAAAATTAATATAAAATAAATAAAATTCAATTTGAACTTAAAATTTAAAATAATAATTAAAATTAATCTCAAATACTTGACATATAATTAAAAACAATAAAAGTAAATAACATAACATAATTAGTCACATTTAAATTTCGTCATCGTCGTGTCCAAAACGTTCACAAATATGCTCGACTAGATCTCCTTGAAATTGGCAATGAACTTGTTTTTCATGAAGACTTATTCTTCTTTGTAGTCTTGTTGTAAGATTCAGATGATGATCATTAAATGTTTCAGATGTTGAGTTGTTATCCACATTATCATAAGAGTAATCAAAATCACCTTCATATGTGTGTCGTTCATCTTTAACAATCATGTTGTGCAATATGATGCAAGCATATATGATATGCTTGAGATTTTCCATGTGCCATGCACATGTTGGACCACATATAATTGCAAATCGAGATTGAAGCACTCCAAATGCCCACTCCACATTCTTTCTAGCTGATTCTTGATGTTGTACAAATAGTTTTCTCTTTTCTCCATGAGACATTGAAATGGTCTTGACAAATGTAGCCCACTTAGGATATGTACCATATGCTAAATTTTTTTCTAATACCCCATATTATACGGTGTTCCGTTAATTGTATATTTTACAACATGAGTATGTCCTTCCAAAATTTTGTTAAACATTGTTGTTAGGCTTTCTAAGATATTCGGCCACAAATACATCATTCACGCCCATAACAAATCTTTCTAAGCACTCAACTGAGTGCTTTCAGCGATTCAAACGTATTCATCTACAATATCAATGGGAGACCATATGCCAACATACGAATAGAAAATGTGCATTTATGCAATGGTGAAAGACCCATTTTACCAGTTGTATCGACCCTCCTTTGGAAATATGCATCATGATTTCTAAGGGCATCTACAATTCGAAGAAAGACATGTATATGAATTATGAACCTTCTTCGGAATTGATCACAGATGTATACTAGATTTTCTAAGTAGTCATTGAATAATCGATTGTTCCCTTCTTCATGACTTCGATCTATCATTGTTCTTTTCTTTCGCCTAGAGGAACTTCCAGATTGACCTTCCTTCTCGAGCATTGACATTAGTAGTTCCTCACCTGTTTTGTCCATAAACTCTTCTTCAATCAAATCCCAAAAAAGATTATCGAGATCATTTGAGTTATTTGAATCCATTAAAGTGAAAGAAGAATGAGAGAAAAAGGAAAGAAGAATGAGAAAAAGTGAGTGAATAACGAGAAGAGTGATAATATATATAATTGTTAGTTTGAATAACGGCTAGTTTGAATAACGACTAGTTTGACTAAAGGCTAGTTTGAATGACAATATGATATTTATTATAAATTAAAGTGGTACTAATGACAATTTTACATAAAAATTGCTACATAATAGTTAATTTTGATAATACTAAAACTTTTCATCTTAACTAATATCCATATTTTTCTTTCAGCTTTTTACAATATTTTTCATGAATATCTTGTTGACTATCATTCATCGTAGAAGTGTCTGACATGATGGATTGCATTGCTTTAAATTCCATCTCTTCCTCCTTAAATTGAGCTAGTCTTTCCATTACTGCTACTCTTTTATTCCATATATCTTGCACAACATTAAAAGGAGGTTCAGATGCATTTGCATTTTCGTTTGTGTTATCCTTCCTTTTTGCTGCTTGTTGCCCCATTGGATGCTCTATTGGTAATGATGATTTATACTCATAACTTGATGAGTGTGCCCCACTAGTAGAATTATTTATTCTTTTTGAAGAATTTCAGTCGAAGCTCCCATCCATTTAGGTTTATCTTTTAACAATCGCCAAACATACTCAAGATTTAATGATACACCTTCATCATGAAGAAAAAAACATGTGCGTTAACCATGATATCTTTTTCTGATGTGCCACTTTTCCCCTATTAACAACTTCTTTGTAACACCCAACGATTTTTTGAACAAGGTCATTTATTTGATGCCATCGGCATTTAAATTGACCCTATAGCTTTTCTCGCGATTGCTCACGATGTTGGTTATAATTATCTGTGATTCTTAACCAAAAACCGTTGGTTTTTGATCAACTCCAACAATAGGATTCTTTGAAACATTGAGCCATGATTGCATAAGAAGTGTATCCTCTTTCCTTGTGAATACCTCTCGAGGTTTTTTTAACAGAGCATCTTTGTTCTTTTTCACTTGTAATATTTTCAATACTAATTTGAGTTGAAAATTGTGGAACTTGACGTTCAGACATAAACCTATTCGGTGTTTCGGGCTCATGGTGAGAAAAATTCATCCCATGAGTATTTATTTGAGGTCTAAAATACATATTTTGATTGTTTGGTGATGGAAAAAATACAGTAGAGTCTGTTGGTGGTGAGAAAAATTGAGAATTTTAAGGATTATGATTTTGATAATTTTGCATGAAATGAAACATAGACTATTGAAAATTATATTGATTAGGGTCCAATTGCTCTTAAAAATAATCATTTGAAGTAAGAATATGAAAATTTGGATAAAATATATGGTCAATTGAAGACTATTAAGATAAAATTGTTAGAGAAAAATTTAAAATATTATGAGTAAAATGATAAAATTGTGAGGGAGGAATAAAATAATGATAGAAAATTTTAGTATAAATTTTTTCATTTGATTCTATTTTTAACCAAATAAATTATTCAAAATAAAAAAATAAAGAATAAAAATGAAAGTTCTATAGAGCAACGACTAATAGTATTTTCTAATATTTTTTTATTGAAAATAACAACTGCATTACATTGCAACGTTCACCAAACCGACGAATTTCAATAACAATTTTTTCAAAACCAATATGTGACAACTAACGAACTCATAGAAAAAACGAATCTCTCAAGATATTCTTAGTAGATTCATTAATCATATATTTTGGTATTTTTAAAATGTGTTTATATTTTTAATTTTACATTTTTTACATTCTTTTAACATTTTTTAAGACAAGTTAATGACAAATCAAATTGACTCTTTTTATCATTCTTAACTACACTAGTTTCCTTTTGTAAAAAGAAAAACTACACTGATTTTCAATCCAGTTTTAATTTCTTTTATCTTCTCCAACTTCTTTAATGAGTAGATATAAACTTACCGTAACATAAATTAATTGATTCACATTGCATAAATTAACACCAAACCAATCTTCATTTCTCTAAATGGAAATTTAGGACAACTTAATACACAACTTGTACTAGCAAAAACTATAAAGAGGAATTGAAGATTCGAAAAAGTATAAACAAATAGTACTATTACCATTTTTGTGACTTACTATCTCCAAATTCCAAAGATAAAACCCAAAAATCACGCAATCATTCAAACCACACCCCGCTCCTATCACGTGACCAAAATTTGAATTACTACAGCGCCTAGAAAATCATGTAATCAATGCCACGTGGCATCATCTCAAAACATCCCAAGACAACCAAAACCAAAACAAAAACATAAACCTCAAAGTTCACACTCCCTCCTTGTTCCTCAGTTCAAATCAAACTCTGTCTTTCTCTCTCTAGGTGATGCAAATGGCGTTTTCTTTCTCTAAAAAACCCTCTTCAAGATACAGCACCTACGATTCATCACGTTCTTCAACTTCCTCTCACTTCTCAGACCCATCTTCATCCTATGAGTTCAAATCACACTCTTCATCTCGTGCCATAGTCAAAGCTAAACCCTCTCAAACCACAAAAGTGGATCCTACGGTAACCACAATGGTTAAGAAATTCATGGCGAATAAGCCCAAGTCTGTGAACCCTGCTTCCACCAAGTTGTTCATTCCTTCTGATGTTATTGCTAAGGATTTGAAGAAGGATGCTAAGAGGGTCAATGGCTTTTCGGCTTTGCAGAAGAAGTTGTTTGGGAAGAGTGGATCGTGTGAGAAGAAAGAGAAGGTGAAGGCTTTGACTGAAGTGAAGGGGAACACTAGGACTCTTGCTATGGTTCTGAGGAGTGAGAGGGAGCTTCTGAGTATCAATAAGGATCAAGAGGATGAGATTTCGAGGCTCAAGATCATGATTGAAAACAAAAATAAAGAGGTTTGAATCTGATTTGTTAACATGAATTGCAATTATGGGTCTTTGGTTTTTTTAGTCAATTAATGTTTGTTTGTCATAAAGGTTGAAACTTGTTGATATTTCAATGTTAGTAATAATGATGTTTTTTGATTTGCAATTCTGGCTGATTTCACTTTAAAAATATATGGAGAAATGGTTTTGATATATAAGAATCCCTACAACACGGATATCTCTGAAAAAAAGGTATCAGATGCCACACTTGTGATTACATGTCTGTGTCCGTGCTTCGTAGATAAGTATTGTAATGTCTATATGGCAATGTTGTTAAGTAGTTGGTATAGCCGTGCTATATGGCTATACTAGAACAGAATTTGGACAAATTAATATTGTTATGGTATACACATTTTAGTATCAGATGTTGTCAAATAGCGGCTATACCACTATTGAATATAGTAACATTTGTTGTACATCACACACACTTTGATCAGTATTGGTGCTATGGAGATTTAATTTAACCCTTACAAGAAATTATTGTCTAACTAAAGTGTTTCGCGAAGATGTTTGAAATTAACTCTGAAGTGACATTTGGTTTGTTGAATTTGCAGGTAGAAAAGTTGAAGGATTTGTGTTTGAACCAAAGAGAAGAAATCAAGTCATTGAAGAACAGTATTTTGTTCCCTGAGGTTATGAATTCTCAACTTCAGAAACTTGTAGAGAAGCAAGGCTCAGAGCTGAAAGAAGCAAAACAGGTCATTCCATCTCTACAACAACAGGTTTCTTCTCTCACTGGTCAGCTTCAAAGTCTTGCCGAGGATCTTGCAGAGGTATAACTTCATATCTTTCACTCCAAGAAAATTCCGAGTCCTTGCTTTCAGAAGACATATAGAAGTGTTTATGCTTCTCGTTGTGCTTGATAGGTCAAGGCTGATAAGTATTCGGCGAAAACGGGCTTCCAAGGTTATGGAAGCTCTCCAAGAACACCACCACCACATGGCAGGGAAGATACCTCAAACTCCTGGGTAAGATTAGAACTTAATTGAAATTTGAAAGTAGTGGTGATCATAGAATGTTCTTAACTATTCTTGAGCGATTCGTGCAGGATTTTAGCTCCGAGGACATGGCGGATGATCTATTACTCAAAGATCTTAATCCATGCTTAACACCTTACAAATCCAACAAGTCAAGATCAAGGGTAACTAAACCTCTCTACTAATAGTGTTTCTCGTCTTTCGTCTTTATCGTTCTAAAACAAGTTTCTTAACTAATAGTTTCCATTTCCTGCAGGATGATAGCTTATCTGAGGATGATGTCAAAGTATATCCCGAGTTGCTGGACGATTTTGATTCTTATGACAAGAAATTTTCAAAAAGTTCCGACTGTTACCACCATAACACCGGGAAAATCAGCAAAATAGGAGTCACAGCTAAAGCAAGTCGAAGATCTGACGACACCAAAACAGTTTGGAGGTAGAATGAATAAATCATAAACTTATATGATCATCCTCAATCACTGTTTCTTGTTGAGACTCCTCACCTCTTTTTGATGTTTTCATCTTTCGGTTTAGCGAGCATATTGTGTCTATTTTAGAAGTTGGACAGTGTATTGTGTCTTATAATACTTCTAAGATTGAATTGTCCATCCTTGTATATGGTCACATGAGCAATGAATAAGGTTTTGGAATCGTTAGGCTAATAAATATGATGGTTGAAAATTCGGATAGCAGCGGTACATGAAAATCGATTCTTGAACCATATTTCGTCGAGTTTAGTTATTCCTTTCACAATTTCATATGACATGTATGAACCATATTTTGTAGTTTCTTTGTTTTCATGTCAATAATGCCTTTGTTATTATTAGCGGTTGTTTTTTGTTCTAAAAACTCAAATGATACAACTTGAGCAGTAGAATTAGTTCTTAGAGATAAGAAATGCTACCGTTTCTCTAATTTCGGTTAATCGAAAGAAAGACTAACAGCTTCAATAATGTCAACTCCATTAAATAGAACTTATTTATTTCCACCAATATGTCACATTTTTGTTCCAACTCTGTTATAAGTCTTACACTTTCTCGAGAGAAGACAGAGATTTGTATGAATAAAAACTAAATCTCCAACTCTCCTTGCATGAGCTTATTCCTTAAGTCCATATATGATTCATTAGCAGCTAAAACTACAATTTTTAGGGGTTCTGATAACAATCCGAGAAAATAAAATTGCATTTTTTAAGGGGGTTGCATACCAGCGTGTAGATTCAAGTACTTTGCCGGTATTTCACCGTTAAATCATTGTTTTTAAACCGGACCGGAGATTAAATGGCAGGACCTCAGGGTCATTCTCATTGATCTACTCATATGATTGAACAAGAATAAACACAAAAAAATTACGCAATAATTAATCGTTGAAACAACTGAAATTCAACTAGTTTAATTTTGATTCTATTTAATCTTTGAGTAATTAGGAGATTTCGCTTGCTAATCATATTTCAAAATTTCTATTGTAAAAACTAAATAGAGAAGAGGCTATCACATTGCAAGAACTTGAATATTCATTATTCTTTTATTAATCAAACCAAATTCTCATTTCAACCCATCAACACAAATGTGATAAATTTTGAACTATATGGTATTTTATTTTCTATACAGGAATTCTCATCCTTCTTTAGGCCGTTCCACCACTTGCATAAGCTGTCCTCTTAATGATGAACAAGCCTGTCAAACAGAAAAGGAAAAAAAACAATAAGTCATGCATCTTTACCAAAATAATTGCTAGGTCAAAAAGTGCTTAATTGACTAATAACCTGAATTCAAACAATTTTCAAATACAAATCAACCCTAGTGCAACCTATCAAAGCAATAATATATAAATCACCGACACAGACACGAGAATCACAACACGATACTCACATGTCAATATCGATAATAATTTTTAAAAATAAATAAATTAAATATAATCACACGTGTCAGTGCTGGTTTCAGACACCTCCACACTTTTTCCAGACTAATAATTTTGAAGGTATGCAAAAGTAGTTAAGAACATACATAATCCAAAAAGAAGAAAGACTAAGAAACCAATCAGAATTGGACCAATATGGTTCAATCCCCATCCCTTCTTTTCAGATCCTTTCTTCATGAGTTTTCTTTCAAATCTTGCTACTTTCCTGTCTGATACACGTCTTGATGTAGTCTACAATTCAATCCAAACCGTTCATACAAAAACTAATCAGCATCATCATCATCATAAAACAGAAACAAATGTAGAAAAATCAACCAAAGTAACAGAACAAAAATATGAGATATAAATATAAACTTTACCATAGTATTAGATGTACCAAGTTTCTGACCCCAACAATGTTAAAACAACAATATAAGAGAATTGGAAGAATAGATGAGTTTATAAAATGGTTTTCAGAAAATGAAATGTGCCACCTCTTTATTACTTGGACTCTACCTAAACACTTTTACTATTCTTTGACTTAAAAAAACATTTTTTATTTATTTTATAAACGTAATAAATTAGTCATGTACTTTTTCGAATTTCTTATGTAACGTCTCATATTAAATAATGAATTTATTTTTTTGGATACGTTTCAATCGGGAATTCAATTACCATAAATATGTTAAACTAAATTCCCACCGAAAAATACATGACGCAAAGTGTACCACCGTAATATGATAATGAAAAATATATATTTCGTCTCTTATAAAAGTGTATCATTTGATTTTTTTTTTTTTAAATGATGGGTTTTGTAACAAAAAAAAGGTTTTAAGATTATTATTGGAATATTTTTTTACCACTTATATAGTTTACTTATCGAGTAGAAATTAATTGGAATACATCGAAAAGTGATTTTATACTGTCATTTAACTAAAATAAATTATTTTAACACATAAAAAAAAGAAATATGAAAAAAATAATTATTAAAATGATTTTATTATAATTTATTTTTAATTTCATATTTATGAGTCAAAATAGTTTATTTTAATTGGTTGACGTGTAAATTAGCTTTACATTAATAATGAAACCATTTTAGTAGGCTCCTTATATAAATAAAATTAAACATTCTTATTTATTAAATTATTTTATCTTATTGAAAATTTAATTGTTATATTTTGAATTTACACTTTCTACGTCTTAAAATAAATATTCTCTTTGAAACTTTTCATATTTTTTAAAATAATAATTATTTATGTTAATTTTCATGTTAAAATAAATCTCATTTATTAGAATTATTTTATTAATAATAAATAATAGAATAATTATATGAATTAAAATATAATAAATAAGAATAAGTTAGTAAAAAAATAATAAATATCACATTAATATTCTAAAAAAATAAATAATTTAAAATAAATAAAATAAAAAATAGCACATTTACAGTGAGACGGTGGAAGTAATAACTTTAGTTTATGGTCAAAACCAACTCATATAAATAAGATATTCCAATTTTGACTAATGTATAATGTCAAATAAAATATTTTTAATTGAGAAAAGAATTTCGTTGGAGCTTTTTTATAAAGAGAATATATTTAATAATAAAAAAAGAATTTGCTAAAAGAATAATAAAATAATTGTAAATTAATGGAAATGGTTGAACTAATTTTTTATTTCTCATAGGGGTTGGTTTTGACCATAAATTAAAGATATTATAAGTTTAAAGTATAATAGTTAATTTTTCAAAAAAGGTAAAATAATTTAATAAATAAGAATGTTTAGTCTTTTTTTATATAAGAAATTTTCCAATGAAAATTATATTTAATGTGAGAAACGAAAATGATCAATTTTAGTTATTAAATTTAATTAATATTTAAGAGTTATTAATTATATATAAAGAATATCTTATTAACATTTTTATATTATGCTTAATCTAATATTTAAAAATTTATAAAAAAATCTTATTAAAAATAATTTTTTATCAGCTACGTGAGTTTACCATTTACCTATCAACTTTAAGACTATTATATTGCAATATATTATTTATCACTATTGTAAAGTTTATTTATTGACTTTTCTACATAATTCAAATAAAGTATTTTTTTAATGCCTGAAAAGACTTATCGTAGGAGATTTATTTAAAGATAGAAAATATATTTGATGATAAAAAACAAATTTACTAAAAAATAGTAAAATAATTATAAATTAATGGATATGGTTCAACTTATTTATTTATTTATTTATTTATTTATTGTAGGGGTTGATCAGACCATAAACTGAAGTTATTATAACTTCAAATTATAAAAACTTTTTTTCAAAAAAGGTAAAATAAATTAAGAGTGAAGATCTATTTTAGTCTTTTATATAAATTGTATAATTCAAATTAGTCCTTCACAAAAAAAGATTTGATTTAATCTCTTATAAAATTTAATCGAATTATATTAGTTATTTTGTTAATATTTTTTTTTAAATTAATTTTTTCTTATTTTTAAACCGTTAATGGACTATCAAGTTGAATTTTATTTTTTATTTTTCATTTTTTAAATTCTTAATTGATTTTTATTTTTTATTTCATTTCTAGACAATTCTGAATTAATAATATAAAAAAAATATTATATTTCTTATAACGAATCAAATTAAGAATCTTTAAACCACATCTTATGACTTTACCACTAGCTCCATTCGCAAATAATTTTCTTTGATTTTTAAAAATATTAAATAATTCAAAATTTAAAACAAAAAATACAAAATTTAAATTCGTTCAAGCTTAATGATAGTCATTTTCTAACTATACAAATCAATTTCTATTGTTAATATTTTTAATGATGAATATTTGACTTAATAATTCAGAACAAACATTTACTTATTTCAAATAACACACAAATAAATATTTACTAATTTCAAATAATACATAATTTAAAAATAAAATTAATAAAATGTAAATCTTAAATATAATTAATTAAATAGAAATAATTTATTTAATATTTAATTAAATTACTGTTAAATTAATTAATTATCATTTAGTTTGAATTAATTAAATAATTTTAAAAATTAATTTATTATTTAATTTAAATTAATTAAGTATTTTTATAATTAATCTAATTACTAGTAAATTAAATAATTATTATTTAATTTTAATTAATTTGAAATAAGTAAATATTATTTGTGTGTTATTTAATTTCAATTAAATATTATTTAATTTAATTCTATTTGATTAATTATATTGAAGAATTACATTTTATTAATTTTATTTTTAAATTTGTGTATTATTTGAATTAAATAAATATTTATTTGTGTGTTATTTGAAATAAGTAAATAAGAATGATTATTCTCAGTTATTAAGTTACGAATTCATCATTAGACATATTAATAATAATTAATCTAGTTGTGAAGTGACTACCATTTAACTAGACATAGCAACTGGACGGATGGGGACGGTTTTTACCTCCCTCAAACCCAAACCCAAATCCCTAAACAATCACCGTTCCACGCCTCAAACTCAAATGGGGATGAAGAATTAAAACCTAAACCTGCCTCAAACGAGTTCGGGTTAGGTTCTGATATTCCTGCTCTGCCATCATCCATTTAGTAAAATCAATTTTTTAATAAAAATATTTATTTATTTTTAAATCAAATTACATTATAAATAATAAAATAAAACCATCTCAAAATATTCCATACATACACTTCAAATATTTTAAATAATAAATACAAATTAAATTATCAAAATATCGGTCACATGTTTAATTTTCTAAATTATCAAAAATAAATAATAATGTACATAATGAAATAAATGGGGCGGGTTCAAGGACGGGTTCAGAGTGGATACCAGTGTCCCTATTACCCGACCCGTCCTCATATTTTACAATCGGGGAAAACCCAAACCAGAATGTAAACTGATCGGAAAAATAGCCAGTTTGCATATGCAATAATAACGGAGAAATTCTCTGAATGTCAATCTCAAGGACTGCGTAGAAATATCGAGTTAAATTATTATTCAATTAAATAAAACCTAAAAGTTGGGTTTGATTTGGAATTTTATCCTCAACAATAATTAAAATAAGCAGAATGTAAAATACGGCTTTTTCATAAGTATGAGCAACACGCTAGGGTAAAGTGTGTGCTTTGCCCTGTAATAACCTTGACTCTTGATTTCTTCAACAAGTTCATAACCTTCAATTACGAGATCTTTAGTATGTTTCCCTAAGTCCTTATTGGGAAAAACTTTGGTCATTCATCCTAATGCCTAGGTCGTTAGAGAATTATGATGAAACCAATCATTTATTTTATCAAAACTTTACTGGTAACTATAGGTTACCCCTAGTCCTATGTGATATCTACTATAGTTTAATCGTACAAAAACCTTAACAATGGTGGTCTAGCCCTAATTATTAACCATGAATCAATCCCTATTTTTTCTGATAGGAAAAACATTAGAACATTGAACGATTAAATTGAAAAGAAACTATTGTATTAAAATCAAGAATTCAAAATTATTACAATTACAAAACAATGACACCCCTTAGAATTGGGGGGTTTAGCTACTCATATTGTTCAAAAGAATTTCAAATACAATAAAGATAGACATTACAAATTGATGGCCAGCTTTGGTTTCAATTGCTTCCGTTCATGAAAGTCTTCGTCTCCAACAATTGCATAAACTCTAATCTTCAATCGTCTGAATTCTTCGTCTGCGAAAAAGTCTGATTTGTATCGTAAAACTCCTATATATAGTGAAAATCCCTTTACTACACTTGGAAAGTACCAAAACACCCTTCTAGATCACTTTTCGAGCAAAGTCCTAGGGGCTACAACACGGCTCGTGTCAGGCGACACAACCACCCGTGTTGCACCCCAGATTTCTCTTAAACTTCATCCACTTCAGGTGTTGCAACACGGGCCGTGTCATGTGACACGGGCGCCCATGTTACTCAACTGACCCTCCATATTACTTTTTCTCAAGACTCGGAGTTTTCGCCACTTTCTCACACCCCGTTCAATGGATCTTCAACTTAGACCCGATGAGAATAAAAAACAACACACCAAAGCATAAAATGGAAAAATAACTTGAAACAACTCAAAAAACATAAATTGCAAAGAAAACTTAAAAAACATAAAATCAACTCAAATGGTAACACAATACGAAACAAAGTGGTGCAAAATACATGGATTATTGCCAGACAAGTGACAAAAACATAGTGAAAATGGTGACCAATCACAACCCCAAACTTAGGTCGTTGCTTGTCCTCAAGC